CCCCGACTTGCCTCCTCTCCCACGCACACGTACACATTCAAAGGCTCAGGCTTGGTTTTAATGAATGGAAAGGATCACAGGTGGGGGGAGCCTTAGGACATGCAATGGCTGCAGCCAGCGAGTAAGAAGCAGAAGCACTATGGGTGCCCTTAACCCCACCGTGGATCACCAGAGATCAGGTACCGAAAGCGTCCCTACCGCCATGAGTAATCCCTGTGCCAGCTATTTGTGACACCTGGATTTCAGCAGTTTTGTGCCAGTTTGTGCCTGTCTACAAAGATGGAGCTGTGGCTGGGTAAGACATACTGACAGTTGGCACCGGAGTCAAAAAACATAGGGAACCTTTGCATTGGGCAGCTCCTGCCTTCGATTGACCTGTTGTGCTAAGCAGGAGCATACAAGACTACAATCAATGATTTAGTGAATCTGATCGGACTAATAGGTACATCCCTGCCTGATCCCTTTCTACCTGTTTATGACCTTTTTGTCCCTGAATTTGTCTAACTTCTTTCAAGAATCAAAGCATATCTGAAGATATTTCAGAGCTACTCTGAATTTTTCCCGCAATGCTGCACCCATGTGTGTGCATCTGAGTCTCTGTGCAGGACAGGTTCTTACAGAGCTCCACTCTACCTTGGGCTCGGCGACGTGTCATGTCCAGATGTTCATTATGCATATCGTTCAGTTTTGCCAGAAGCAGTTTGCGGGCACCGTACTCGTTGAGATAGCGAGCATACTCCTCAGCTATGCTTCTCTGCAGATGCTCCACCTGCAGGAAACAGAGGCTTGAACTGTCAGGAGCGTAGCATCAGTGGGAACTCTTGGACTGGTTTGGTGGGTCTAGAGCAGAAATGAAGGAGCAGAGAGTGGGATAATGGAAGCGAAATGGGGACAAACTGGAGCAGGAGAGTGGGCAAGAGAGAAGACTGTAGAAAAGGATAGACTGGATGGAAATATAACAGAAGAGTTCAAACTCGGATATAGTGTGCAAAAGGGTGCCCCATCAGAGTGTTTAGCCTTCCAGAGACTGAATTATAAACATTTCATCATCTGAGTTACACCATTTCATAGAATCACAGAATGGTTTGGGTTGGGAGGGACCTTAAACATCATTGAGTTCCACCCCCCTGCCCTGGGCAGGGACACCTCCCACCAGCCCAGGTTGCTCCAAGCCCCGTCCAACCTGGCCTTGAACACCTCCAGGGATGGGGCAGCCACAGCTTCTCGGGGCTCTGTTGTAAGCCTGTATCTAGAAAACCTTCCAGAAATTTATTCTGTCCCAGTTGCTGGTCACACAGGAGACCAAAATGCTGCTACTCTTACCAACTTACTCCACTGGAAGTGGTGACAGAAATGTATCTTGGATGGAAACATGGGATTGTGTTTGTGATGTATTTTTAATTTTAATTGCATTTTAAATTAGCAGCAAAGTACAACTATCAGAAAGCTGGAAGTCTAGGAACTGGGATTATGTGTAAAACTACAGCTTATTGCCATGATGTGCATTTCATTACATGATTGCATCCTGATGCCTGATCCAAGGGATAGGGAATGAATCAGTATGGTCTTTTACTTGTTGCTCAGAAGACAACTGGCGTCTCACAGAACGCTGACTATTCTGATGAGAATTCTGAAATCTGTTAATCTCATAAAAAGACAAGTCTTCTGTAGCAATGCCCGTGTCCCTACACCATCACTGCCACCAGCAGACAAGTCAGCAGCTTGGACCAGTCTTTTCAAGGCATTTTTGAATATCTAACCGTGCCACAGTTAGAATATTTGAATGCTGTCTCAAAAAATGGATCTCTGGTTTGAACAGAATTATTTTTCCCAACCTCCCTCACCCAAAGTGCAAAACTTAAATAGCTGAGACTAGAATTTGGATTCTGGGCTCTGTTCTTAGGTATGGCAAGTATAACTTTGCATAAATTCTCAGTTGTTCCTTTCAGAGAAGGTTCTCTACGGCTCTATGAAGCACTGAATACCAACTGGTGGAACTGGCTGGTTCTAGGACTGCAAATGGAAGAAATATTTACAAGCATTTTGATCAAGCTAGTGAAACCAAAGCCTCTAAATTTCCCCAAGTGCTAGCTAGATGAATAAGGAGCCTACATAGTCTGTCCTGAAGCTTGTTTTTCTTCACCTTTACCACTTAAACCTAGTGCTTAAACTAGTGGATGAAAGCAAGTTCAGGCAGAGTTCCTCATACTGTTACACACTTCTGACTGCAGCAGAATTGCTGTGTGACAAGGACAATTTGTTTCTTTCTCCTGCTCGTTTTTCACGGGGAGGATCATACAACCCTGGAACAGGCTGCCCAGGCACATGGAGGATCACTGTTCTGGGTGGATCTCAAAACTCGTGTGAGACAAGCTCATGGCCAATCTGATATAATGTAGGTGATAGTTCTGCTTCACATGGCTGGTGGGGCTGGAGACTCTGCATGTTTCCTTCCAATTGACCCTTATTTAATACTTCCTGAATTAGCTACAGTAGCAGTCAGGGCCCCATGAACCTTGATTGTCTTGATCAGCCCCAGCTGGACCCTCTACCCATGCACTGTCTGCCCACAGCCAAGGAGCTCTATTTAAGCTCAGGCCAGGGCTTTTGGTCTTTGTTGAACCATGTTGTAGGTGTGTCTGCCTCCAGTCCTGTCTCTGCACCTGTCTCTGCACCCCGACTGGACTGTGGACTGGTGTTGTAGGTAGCTCTTCTCCTGGGTAGACACCTTTGATTGTCTGTTGCAGTTTTGTCTCCAAGTCCTGACTCTGGCCCTATCTGCTACTGCTCCTGAGTGCCTGCTTCCTCCGCTCCACCACAGATGGACTCTGGGCTTAACTGCCTCATGGGGACCTGAGGACCACTGCTACCAGCACCTCACGTGGTGCTGTGAGACTGTGCCCTGGTCGGCGGGGCTCTGGCTGTGCTGCAGTCACCCCCAGCTCCTGGCTCGTCCCTCCTCATGCAGCAGCCCTGTTCTTCTTGCTCCCCAAAAGTCGTATCATTTCAGCCTGAGTAGCTGGAACCGTTCAAGAACTGTATAAAGTGGTAATTTAAATTGGAAAAACTCAACTAATCTTGCCTACAGATACCAATGTGACTCCACCGGCAGTAAGATGAATGATACAGATTTAAACGTGCTAAGGGTACAATGTTGTAAAAGAGTGCATGTACTTTCCACTAAGAACTTAGTACTAGAAAGATATTTATTTCCTGCCCCCTTGCAGTGTGACTGTGCAAGAGCCAGAAGGGACAAGAGGTACAAGTGAAGACTTCTGACAGCGGCAGGACAGCCTGTCCCAAGGGAACAGGATATTCTCTGGAGCTGGCTGAGATCCAGCATCGCTGCCGTGCCAGATGTTCCAGACCTTCTACTGGCACCAAAGGGTGAGATCCTGGGAGGTAAGAGATCAGAGGTATAAAACGCATCCAGCTGAGGCTGGGAAATATTTGACCCATCATGGTTTAATGTACCTGAGTCTGAAGAGAACTCTTTTCTTCCTTCATGTTGTCAATAAACTTTAACAAATGTTGTTTCTCTTGCTTTAACGTATTTATTTCATCTTTCTCCTTTTCCTGCAGTGCCAGTATCTGCTGGGTGCACTCCTCGGACACAGTTGTGATCATAGCCTTCAGGGGTTCTAGGGCACGAATTGTCTTCTTCTGATGAGCTAAAGAAAGCAGAGGTGAGTTCTCACCATGAGCAACAAAGCCTGAATTTTACTCGGCTGCGCCACTGGATATTCAACCCCAAAACAGTGCTGGTGGGAAATGGGACTGAACACGGAGCTCTTACAGCTTGGCCTGGTGAGTGCCTAAGGACTGAGAGGAGTATGTTTTGGGATTATATCCCGTTGTTTATCCAGCTGTGCATGTGAACTTCATAAGGATTGTTACAGAAGGATTTCTGATTTCAGCTCATGCTATTTATCCTGGTTTGGAAAACAAAGGATGAACAGTATTTTATTTTGTTTTCTTGAGTATTTAAGGTTTTGATAAGATATAACGAGCACTGATGGCTTCGTCATGTTTCACTAGGTGGGAAGGTGTCACCATTTGAGCACAGGCAGCATATGGGGCTAAAGACAGCTGCTAATTAGCAATATAGCCTCTTTCCTGAAGGCACATTCTTCATGAACTTCCATCTGCTTTCTTGTCTCCAAACGTATGGTCTCACACAACCTTTGGTATACAAATTTGTTGCCTACCCACTCTCCCCTCTTTTTAGGTATGCCTTGACCTCTCTTATTTTGCCTTTCTCTTCAGTACATCTAGTAATGAACTCATGTGCTCTTCTTGGCTTCCTCTGCTGAGCTTTTCACTCACAGCTATTTCCCCTTGGACTTGAACGTTTTTCTCAAAGATGTTCAAGAGAATGAGGAACCTAGTGACAGAACTTGACTTGGGTCCCACGTCCTAGTTACAGGGTAGAATTCTGTCTGATGTCACCTCCTTGGTGTGGAGGCTTGTTTTTCTGACTAGATGGCATTCCACCAGGAGAATAAAATGATCGAAGAGAGGATATGGTGTGGTTCAAATGAGGCTGTGAGCAAACCTCATTTTGTTTGTGAATAACGGCATTATTCAGCAATCAGAACTGTTCACTCCCTCTCCTGAACAGAAGGATAGAAATGCTGGTGGATGCTGAATAATCTGACTTGGGAGGTTTTTTTCCTCATCAATACAACCTGGTATTAGTATTTATGTACAAATACTATGCAACAGATTTTGCATTTTAAAAGTTAAAAAGCATACATAAATCTAAGAACAGGAACTACTTTTCTTATTATACTTGGGTGTGAATTTCCTTCCCATGCTATAACTGTACCAAAGGTTTTGCAAAACTGTTTCACTATGCTGCTTGTATCAGGACGAGAGATGGTAAAAATTAGAGCACTAGCACAGGGATTCTGCCACTGTGCTCTTTGGTTGCTCAGTGTGACCTTGTTAAAACTTCAGCAAACTTGTTTTGAGGCGTAGTTTCAGTGTTTCACAACTGACTCCTAGCCACAAGCAAACCCCTTTAAATTAAGCACGACAGTATTTTTAATTGTAGCTGCCTAGTATGTCAGAAGTTAAAACACAACTTGCTAGCTGCCAGAGTGATTATTTTGTAGTGTGGACTCTGGCCAGTGCCATCCGAGAACGTGAGCTCTCTGATGACCCCTCCAAGCTTTCCCCATGCCAAGAAAGGACAGACATTCTCCCACTTGGAATGCGTTCAGGCCGGGGTGCATCTCACTGCACGTACCAGAAGCCTTAGCATCACAAAGGAGTGAGTGTGAAGGCCCTGTGGACACAGCAACCTGAGTATTATTTTAATCAAGAAGTGGGTTCAGCTGTGGACAACATTACCACGGGGACCTACTCTGCCATTCAGCTTTGTCTTGGAGGAGCTCCCAGCAACATAACCTTTATCTCGGATCAAGGTAACGGCTGTAGGGATTTCATGGCTCTCTCCTCCACCCTGCCATTTTCCAAATTCTGCTTAGTACCTTCGCATTCATGAGGATTTCCTCCAGAAACAAAGCCTCAGCGCTGGCTCAGCACAACCTTAGCGCCCAAAGGAACTACAGCTGCAGCTGTACGTCCAGTTCTGGCAGAAAACAAACAGTTGCAAGCAGCCAGTGCAGGCTGCACATCCCTGTTCCCATCAGGGGCTGCTCCTTCTCCGCTCTGCGTGCTCCGCTATGCATGTACTTAAACGTCACGCTGCCGAAACGATGCAGCTAAATATACAGTTTTAGGACATAATACTTTTTTTAAAAAAAAAAACAAAACAGATTATTCTGACTGAACTGAGAATACGTTGTAACGCTAACAGATTCAAGGGGAGAACCCGCCCTGGCAGTGGGTGCAGTGGCAAGGCACCTTAAACATCATATAGACTAAGCTAGTACAGGATCTACGACTAGGGCAGAAAAACCAGAGTAAGACAAAGCTGCTAAATCAGACTACAGAGATAACAGCCAGTTGGCTGAGAAATACAGTGCTGTGGAGTAAAGGCAGTTTCAAAAGGAGCTGAAATGCTCCAGATAGAGCATGCATGTCAGGTGGAGTGATGAGACATCTCTCGAAGCAAACTGTTCCATTTATCAGCTCCAAAGCTGCACTACTCCAAACACTGTAGTGAGTGAACTATAAAATTCTGCTGTTAGGAGCCCCTAGAACGGCCACCTCTCACAGATTTTAAAGAAGCTGTTTTTGTTAAGCACAGTCAGACGTAATTTAAGAATGAAGGTAAAGATTTAGGAGTACAGTTCTACAAATCAGTAAATTTCCTTCCTCTTCTCTGTCTTTGTATTCTTTCTGCTCTCAGACGCTTGCTTTTGTCTCTTCCCTGGCACAGATGCCTTCTTGAGCAATTCAACTCACTAAACCAACAGGAAACTTTGCAGTTCTTGGTCTTCGTTTTTCCTGCTGGGTGAGTTGACTCAGCCCATAGAGGTGCCCAGCGAGCTGGGGCAGCCTGAGCAGCAGAAGTGCACCTGCAGGACCCGGGCTGTGGGATGGTTTCCGTGGCCGTGAGCAGCTGGATGAGCTCACTGCTTCCCTGGCCGGGCAGGTGAGGATGACTGTGCTGGGCAGGGAGGGGGGAGACCTGAGAATTACTCACTGATAACCCCATCCAACACCCTTAGCTGACAGAGGATGGATGTCATGCAAGCCTCATTGGCAAGGTAAAACCTGTAAATAGGAAAATGAGTCCTCAACATACAGAAAGGTGGGAGGATCCCAATCCCAACTTAAAAAAAAAATAAAATACAATGCACTTGTTTTATTCTTAGAGCTCCAAGTATGTTGCTGACATGGCATGCTGGTTCACTGGCATTCAGCTGATTTTAAAAAAATAAAGCTATCAAAAAAGATACATTCTGCTGGGTCTCCAGTGACTTCAAAGAAAAAAAAAAAAAGGGGGAAATATCACATCCAAGGAATATGGAGAAGTCAGTAAATAAATGCTTAAAATAATAATAATTAAAAAGCTTCAGAACGCAGTATAGTGTGGACACCAGTAATCTCTCTGGGTGCTGAAGCAAAGAAATGTCTACTAAAGAGTTCTGGAAGGAAACTGATTTTAAAAAATGTGGTTTATATAGTGATTAAAATTGACTTAGTTACCTGCTTGAAGGCTACTGTGCAAAGAAATATTTTTGTCTATATTGAGGGACTGTGATTAGGTAGTCCAGGTAACAGGTGCCGGGATAAACAATATCTATCCTCTAAGAGACTGTTTTAGTAGAAGGCTATTGACATTTGATAGCTGCTCCGGGCCCAGTGTGAAATGAGCTCCTGGTTACAGTCTATTTCTAGCCCTCTGTGATTGTTTACAAAGTACTGGTATTGCTGTGGCATCTGAATGCCAGGCAAAGTTTAAAGCACACTAAGAATGGCCAGGGAACAGCCAGTTCAGTTCTCTGCCCTGCCTTGCTTCACCAGTAATTCAAGCTTCAAGTTACCAGTGCAAGTGCATCCAAATATATTAGTTTGATATGCTCCACTATAAATGTAATTGTCCCAGATAAACCTCGAGACACTGCTGTTGCCTGAACGATGTGATGAAGACTTAAAAAAAAAATATATCTAAAAATCTTAGATCTAAATCTAGAAATCTACGACATTATAGGAAAAAAGGCCTCCAATGACTTCATATGATGTATGAAGGAAATAGAGCTAATGGACCAGAAAGATGGGTTTATCAGTTGGCATCTATTTAGGATGTTCATAGTACATATGTACCCAACACAACTAAGATCTGTAAGAACATATCTTCATTAGTGTTTTTTCCCCACAGGTCAAAGTCCAAGAGCTTACCCAAGGTAACTTCATATTCATTCTTTATAGCTGACAGCAAGGGCTTGTAGGTCTTGAAGTTGTCTATGAAGAATTCAAAGATCTCTCTGTAGGGCTGAGAGAAGAAAGAGAGCTTGAGAAAACATTCAGTGGCACGATTTTCAGAATTCAGAGATAGTTGTCTTGTCCAACACAAACTGCATGCAATGACAGTGAGAGTAAGTATAAAAATACTGCTGCCACATTTTATTTTGTCTCTCCACCTTTGGTTCGCCATCCCAAATACCTCATATGAAGGTGGAGTTCTCTCCCCTGTTGATAGGCAGCACAGCATGATGGAGAGCAAACAAAGACTGTAGTGGCCAAAGAGAAGCTGGCAGAGGGCACAGCTCCAAAATATGATACTGTTCAGACGGAGCAGACTAGAACTCAAGGACATAACAATATGGATGTTAAAGATGGGTAACAAAGTCATATTGCTCTTCCTGTTGCCTATTTTGTTAAGTGAAATGGCAAGCTCTGCAGAGCAGAGAGAGTGTCTCTGCAGATGTCCTCAGCAGAACAAAACTTGTTCAGAGAGGACAGTCAAACTCCCATGGTGAATCTGGGCCATGGGAAGACTTCACTAGCAATAAGGAACACTGAGTGTGCCTCGCTATTAAATACAATTAAACATGTCATGTAAGACAGTAAAAATATTTTCAAAGCAGAAACACACTTATGAAACTTCTATTTTCTCTTGCCATTAGTCACTCCGTTTCCCTCCAGTCTCTTCCATCTACCACTTTCTTTCTCCATCACTGCAGGATTCCTTTGGGAGTGAGAATTTGAATTCATTTGTGCAGAGAAAATCAAATCCAAATTTACCTCAGTCTGCTCTAATTGCAGGATGTTACAAAAACAGGAGCACCCACTCCTACTCTATCTGTGCTTTAGACTAAAGTGGTGGTTCTCAGTGTTTCCATGAAGCGGGTCCTCAAACACTCACAACAAACCCCCCGGGATCAGACCCACTAGAAATTAAGAATTTTGGGGATCCTGATTAGGCTCAGGCAAGAGCTAGATGACAAAGCCCTTTCTTGTCACATGCAGAAACCTAACTTCAGAAATGAGAGGTTTTGCAGTGAAAATTTGGGAACATACACACTTGCTGCTTTAGAGGTTTACACAGGAATATTCAGGAGTTTAGTGACTAAACTTTTTCGCATCCATTTTAGATTACTGTGTCTTTTTGAAGACTTGGGGTTTGATTTGAAAATGGAAACTGTTATAGAGGATGTGGAGTACGCAAGAAGATGAGAACAACCCAAGAACACCTAAACCCAACATGGAAACAGCAACTGAACATACAAATAACTTGTTATCTGTGCAAGCCCTCTAACGTGAGCTACAAACCCACTTGTCCAATACTACCCATAGGTGCCTACACTTCTCATGTATTTTTTCCTTTGGATGGTCAATTTAAGTGATCCATCTCAGCTGGTAGTTTCAAGTCAAGAGAACCTTGTATCAGACCTGTAACTTCAGTTCTTGAGAGTTCTTTTTAGTCAGATCAAGGGACTGCAGCTCTTTCCTTAAGTAGGACTCCAGTTGCTCCAAGTATTGTGGCTTTGGAATGGTGAGAAGGGCCTGTTTATTGCTGCAGAGACACAGGAAAAGAATGGACGCATGGAATTATGTGTGTCTCATACGTAAGAATGAACTCATAATAAATCAGCTCAAGGATCTTGGTTTTCTTCCTTCTGCCCATTGCTTCACAGCAGAACTTTTTTTTTTTTACTGTAGTACATATATATTCTGTCAAAGTATACAACGAATTACAACTAATTAATTAAAATTCATTGATGGAGCACGAATCTATTCAAGACATCACGCTATTACTATTCTTCAGTTTAAGAACTTCATAATGCTTTTTGATATAAAAAGGCAGGCAAATGGGTTCTCCATGGCAGAAAAGAATAAATGCTAATTATGTTATTTGAAACTGGTCGGGGAAAACAGCCATTTGAAAAGAGATCTGATAACATACTACACCTCTCGAGGTTCTAGGTTCCTCAGGAGGTTCTAGGCCAAATGTCCCTTTGCTGGATGTTATCACGCATATTTCATATTAAAACGAGCTAGAATTAAAACAAAAAAAAAAGTGCAACTATCCTTATTATATCATCCGTAACTGTATCCTGCAATCTGTTAGAGCCCTGAGTTGCACCAACAGGCTGTGCAGGCTCTTCCCCTACCTCTGGGGGTTTGGGTGCCTGTGGCTCAAGGGGAGCTGGGACCCCACAGGGTGACAGTAAGGCAACCAGGGACAGTGATCTGCCCAGCAGGGCACAGTGCCACAGGACTTGAACATGAATAGCAGAGCAGGTCCCTTCATGGTAGCCAGGGTCATCTGTAGTTCAGTGATGGTCAGGCAAGTCCACAGTGATGAGGAAGGTCCGATGCCAAGCTGGGAAGTCAGGTCAGCAGGCCAGGGGCAGTGAGGTACAAGATAGACATGGCTACACCATAGCTCCAGCAAGAACCAGAGGTGAGCAAGTCTGAGTGAAGGCTTCTCACAGCTCTTTACAGCACCCAGTCCCAGGTTACCCAGCTGTGTCGTATCAGAACCAGCCTTCAGCCCAGGCACCCAAACACCAAGGACTGAAGAAGAGCTTGCAGAGCCTGTTGGTGGACGCAGAGCCCTGTCAGCATCCTATATAATGTCGGTCAATGAATCATTAAATGATAGCATTTTATGATAATGTTTATACTAAGCGTGACTCCCTATTACATAAATACTTGACAGCTCCTGTAGTGCTACTAGTCAGAACCAACGTCTTCTCTGTTGTGCTGAACTCTTGTGGGGTAACCCAACATCATTGTCCTCACTAAGGCTGGGAGAGGTTCTGCTCTGTAAGGTGTTAGTTTTCAAAACCTGCTTCTAGCAATCCTGGTGACTTAACCAGTAGTACAGGCTGGGCTTACTCAGACTGTCTCTCCTCTGGGGTGCAGCAGGGTTTGTGGTTCCTTAGGATGGTCTGCCCGGATGCAAATGCCGGCCATGTGGACCAGTGGCCTCGAGCAGAAAGCTGGAAAGAAAGAAAGGGAAAAAAAAAAATCCCTTTGCTGTATCCTAGCACTACAAACTCACAACAAAGAGCCAAAATCCATAATCAATACAGTGAAAGACAGGGACCATACCCTGAAACTCTTCTGTCAGGACTGACCACACCTAAAAACCAAGCAAACATTTTTTGTTCTTTGAAGAAATCGTCTTCCCAGACTTGTACCATTTGTTAAACACCTCTGAACAACCTCCTGGTAGCTATCGTTCATGCTGCCTAGATTACATGACTGTGGGAAAGCGTTGACATCTTTGGATGAAAAATGGTTTCTTGGTCTGCACTGGCAGATAAAGCATCACACAAACAAATCAGAATTTTGCGTTAATCCAGACGAAATACAAAATGACAGCTTTGACTGAGGTCTTGTTTCTACTAGGGAGTTTTGCACTGAAGGGAGGGTGACAGCAAGGGCATGTTGAGCTGGGTTAACTCCTGTAGATTATGAGTTTTAAATGCAGGTTGGCGACCCTATGCCCAACAGCTGAATTTGCATCAGTGCAGAACATAAAAGATAAGGTCTGAGGAACAGATTTAGGTCTGAGGAACAGTAGAAAAGAACGTGATAAATGAATTTTCCTTCAGAAACTGCAAGCTCTTCTGAAAGTAAAATCTTCTTGTTAATTTTAAGAGTCTGTTCATTTCTACCTTGGCACTTTCTCAGTGTTTTTTAGGGGGGGAAAAGCCAGCTATGCTGGATTGCTCTACTTTATTTTCATTATTAGAACAAAATAATTAGTATACAATTGTCCAACACAAATCCCTCCCTATTCTGTCTATAAAATTTACAAAAACTTAATCATGGGTAAACAGGAGGGTTTGACTTTCAAAACTCAAACTTCAGACTGACCAAGCCTTGAAACAGTTAAATGTAAAGCCTCAGCAGCTTAAATGCCCTAATTTCAGTGCAAGAAGCAGGAAAATTACATTGGAGAAATAGCAAGATTCGAATCTATTGAGAGTTGAAAATATTTTGTACAATGAGGAAAGAGCTTACAGAATATCCCAGCTCTAGGGACAAAATAAGACTTTAAGTTCTTGTGCTAATGTAGCACACAGCTTGTCATAGAAGTGGCACATTCCTGAAATACAACCAAAATGCTAATGAAAAAAAACCCCAAAATAAATAACGTATGACTTTTATAGACCTTAAACTCCCATTAGTTGGTTGGTATACATTTCCTGAAATTTATTTTCTTATAATTTGGGTATAGATTTTTCCATGCTTGTTTATTTTATTTACTAAGACTGATAAATACTAGGGAGCAGATGTTCCTGTAGGATGCTCTTATCCTATGATTAAACAGCATGCCGTTGTGTGGTTTCTTTTTTTTTTTTTTTTAAACTATATGGGTCAAATTCTGGCTTCAGTATTTGGCATATATGTTCACTCAAAAAGTTTCAGCCAAGAACAACATTTATATTCTTCTCCTCTTTCCTCCACCCTTAAAAATGCAGTAATTAATTCACAAAGATGACAGCTGAATCTGAAATTCAAGAGTCAGCAGCAACATATAGATTTTCTCTCTGTATATATTAAAGAAACATAAAAATGATTAAAACTTGCTTGACTTCCTAATAGTCTGGGATGGTCCCTGGGCTTCCAGCAAGATTCAAAGTTGACCAAGTTAGCTAAAGTTTGGATGTTTCATTGGAATTCTTCAACTCACCGGAGTCTTCTGTTTCTTGGACAGGATGTATTTCAGACTGTTGATACGTGTTTGGCAAGCTGGAGTCTCGGAGGAAGATTCAGGAGCAGTCCTGTGCAACGACAAGAAAGAAACAAGAAAGAAATATACAGAATTAACTAAATATACAGTGGAGATTGAGAGTCTGGCTCATGTATATCTAAGGTAAACAGTCAATTACGAAGCGCCCAATGGATGAAAATACCCAATAGGATAATGTAGAGGGAGGCTCTGATGGAAACATTTGCGGTAGAGCTGAACTCCGGGATTTGCTGTTTGATAACTGGCACATTTGGTACTTTCCTCACTGCTCCAGTGAAAGCAACCAGGCTGAACCCTGCAGCTGAGCGAGCCCGAATTAAGTGGTCTTCTGAAGAGGAGAGATTCAAAACAGCGCTAGAAAACCTGTCACCTGTGGGTCAAGAACTGGGATCCAGGGTCCCAAAAGTGCCTGCAAAGCCAAGTCCCTGGGCTGGCAAGTAGTGCCATGGCACAGATGGCCCCGCAGCCAGTAGAACCAGCAAACCACAGAACAAATATAACCAGGAACTCTCTTTCCTAGACTAGAAACTGGCACATAGAGGTGAAGGGCCTTTTAAGAAGTAAACATACAGTTGCATGTGTATTTTAGGGAAAATTAGGCTGGCCCTGTGTTGTGGTTTTAGAAAACACACAACAATTTATTGTCGTTCAGACAACTATTCTCTCACCTGATGACCCCATCTGGGACGGGGAATCAGGAAAAACAAAGGAAACCCAGGGGTTGAAATATAAAGGTTTAACAGAATAAGACTCGATGGTTAACATTAGTAACACTAAAGAACCAGCATTGATCCTGATACCAATATAAAATATACCAGGCTTACTCAGCCCATTCTATCCATAGGAAGCCATGTGCTCCCCGCAGGGGACAGCACACGTGGGACCCTGCGAGCGCTGCAGCTTTGGGAGGACGGGAAGGGCTCGGGTCTCCAGCACTGGGGCGAGGAGTTCTCAGGATGGCAGCCATCACGGGAGAGAGAGAACTCCTCAGCAAACTTTCTAACTTATATGGAATGTGCTGTTCATGGTATGAAATAACCCTGTTGGGCAGCGTGGGTCAAGTGCCCAGGTCTCGCTCCTCCTCATCCCTGCACTTGGCGAGCTTGAAAACACTGAGACCTTGAAACCCACACACCATAGCTGGCTATAAATTAAGTATTTTCACAAATTCAGACACCAGAGTCTTCTAAAAGTGCAGTTTTCCCAAGTATTAGAAGAGAAATTAGTCCTGTGTCACTCAAACCAGGACATCGTGGTAGGGCAAAGCAATCCAGACACCACAGGGAATCTGTGGGCGCTGCACTGGCACAATGTGACCACACCCTCCGCTTTGTATCTGAGCATTGGCTTCAACTGTCAGCATGGTTTCACGCTCGAGTGGCAGGTAGCTGTCATACCTTCAATAGATCTAAGTCTCCAACCACCCACTTTCCGGAGGAGGTGTCCATAGGGTGAGCTGGACTAGATTTCAGAGGAGTCCACCAAGGGCCAGCACAGCCTGGGGGCGGGAGATCGCAGCTGGTGAGTTGTTGGATCTCCCGCCCTGGCATATAAAAGAGCAGCCTCAAGCTGCAGCGCTGTGAAATGTGGTCACGGCTCAGCACTGCTGAAAGGGGGGACCCTGTTTCTCCCCCACCACAACAGGATCCTGGTCCCTAGGTAGTGTTAGCTCTACTGTATGTTGGACAACTCTCAGAGCTGTTTTAGTCTGCTAATCCAAGGGAAAATCTGCACTTACCCAGTTTAGGCTGACTAAACCCATAACATATGAGTTAACATGCCCAGAGAGGCTGTGGAATCCCTTTCTCTGGAGATATACCAAACCTGCCAGGACACCATCCTGTCCATCCTGCTCTGGCAGGGAAGTTGGACTAGATGATCTCCAGAGGTCCCTTCAAACCCCTACCAATCTGGGATTCTGTGATTCACCCTCAGTGGGGGAGGGATTCTACAGCAGGCGGTGAGGATGGAGACAGAAACCCCAAGCAGTTGGGTCAGCTTGCCCAAGGAACCACACCTTCGGGTGAGACTCCCTGAGACACTGTGAGTCGATCTAGCCACTTCCTGCTCTTGCAAAGCCAAAGCCTCTCCTCCTCCTCACCGTATCCTCCCTCTGCTGCCACTGCTCATCAGGCCTCTTTACAAGATGCGCTCAGCAGAAAACTAACCCAGCGTCACCTTTTAATTTTGCTGAGTGATCAGCGTGATGACATAGGCAAGAGAAGACTGTACTCGGTGCAACATGCTTTCGTGGCACGAGGAAGGAAGCTGTGGAAGCTTGTGCCGTGTGCCTGGCTACAGGGAGGGATGGACAAGCAGCAGCAACCAGGAGCCATGCCTGAGAAGCTCAAACTCTACAGGCCAGGGACACTCCAGGGCCAAGGAGCAGGATGAATATGAAGTGGCCGATGGTCAGAATTGCAGAGTGTTTTGAAAGTCTCCAATATATAACAGACCGTTAAATGTACATTAACTCATGTTTTAGAATCTGAAGGGCACTTTTCATGCATTTAAACAAAATAAGGTTCCTAGCCATCCAGAAACGCATCTTCTTATCTGCAGCTAAACTTGCAACCAGTTTGATACTCAAAGTACTGAACCCTCTCTGCTTCCGTTTGCTTCATAAAAGCTGCATGCACTTACCACCCAACAGCATGTGTCTCTTTTTTTTTCTTGCAGGCTAGGAGCTTAAGATAATGGCAATCTTTACAGCCACGTCAGCCAGCTAGGCAGTTAGAACACTACCAGCCATGACAGCTTTTCACTCAACTGACAAGAGCAGGGTCGCCGACTACAAGATCCCATGTTTGGCAATTGAAAGGTGCTTGTTCCCAGGGAACCACATTAAGTGAAAACAATAAAAAAGAAGTGCCTGCAACTTTTCCCATAAGCAAAACCAATGGTTACTTAGAGTGTGGTACAGGCAGCCTGGATTTGGAACCGAGGGCTTGTTAAGCACTGTGAAAGCTAGCGAAACTGAAGCAAGGAAGACTTGCTTGTTTGATGAAAGGTGTGCAAAACACACAACTTCAATATCATCAAAGTTGCTTTTACAATAGATAAATTTTCTTAAATGGATGCAGACATTGCTGTCCACATTGGAGCTCTCAAGCAGAAAAGGCAGCAATAGCATGCTTTTAGACTACCTGCATCATACAACTCTGAGATCTGAAGATAAAAAGCCATGTGCAGGTATAAATTAGGCCTTCACTGTGCCTTGAGGGAAGCTCAAGACATACAGAGAAAAGTCGTCTTGGCCATGAATGCTCCAGAATTGTCCTTTTGAGGCAGTCCAGGGAGCTGTCAGTGACTCCAACAGGCCTTAATTACCCTGAGCAGCCTCAGCTGAGACCTGCACCTATGCACCCTCTGGTCCAGGAGCTCCATTTCTGCTCAGGCCTTCCCACCCTGCCCGAGCTACTTTGTAGTTGTAACTGCTCCAGCCCTCTCCCCTGGCTGTGCCTTGGAGCCTTGTCTCCAGTCCTGTCTCCAAGCTGCTCACTCGGGACCTGACCCATTGCTTGGCCTCGTCTAGGACTAGAGGTAAGCGCTGTCGGCGAGGGCCTTGCCCGTGCTGCACCCACCTTCGGCTGCCATCTCACCCCCCTTGGGGAGCAGCCCTACGCTGCCAGAAGGCAGATAAAGACCCGTGTGCTAGAAGAAACCACCCCCTTTGAGGAAAGGAAAAGAAAGGAGACCTCTCCGCTTTTGTAACTTTACAGACTAACTAAGGTATGGCTGGCAGATACTTTGATACAGGAATGGTATGGAAAACAACTAGTAAGGAGAGGCACTGCTTTCCAAACTATAAACTAACTATAAACAGTAACAACGGCAAAGTAAATACCACAGGAATCACTCAGCAAGTCCCTCGCTCCACCGTGAGCGAATGTGGCCCTTGCTCCAGGAACGCCGTGCCCTGCTGTCTCCAGAGCAGTCCTTGAGGGCCTTCCCCGCTGTTTATTGACACCTCCAGACGGGCTGGGGTGGGGAACCGCGTCCCGCCGCCGGCTCTGGGCGGGGCGGGGCGGGACGGGACGGGTTGCCAGGGAAGCACCGCAGCCCCGCGGGAAGGGAAGGG